TCAGTATGATGTCTCCTTGTTTGCAAATAAAACCTTAAGGCTGATAAACAGTATTTCCTATTATTATTATTATTATTTCTCCCTTGGGTTCCTAATGTAACATAGGGCTTCGATAACACGTATCCATTACACTCCATTCTCTGCAATCTTTTCAACATCGCTCCACAACAGCCCACAACCTCTCATTTCATCCACACACCATCTCCTCTATGTCACCCTCATCTCCGACTCTCAACTCACTCTTTCACATCTACATTCCACTCCACTGCATCGACTGGAGCGTGACGCCCCACATCAGTCACCTCACTGCATGCCCCATCCGTCTCCACTTCCTTCCACTGCATATTTATTCACCGATAGCTTCTTGCTTCGTTCGTTCGTTGACAGCCACAGTGACTTCCTTCTCGCTTATTCTCATTATTCTGGCCATCTGAGTCTCAACAACCACTGAGCATAGATAGTACGTGTTGATGAATATCTGTAGTTTGTTGCAAATACCTCTCGTAATGCGCCAAGTCTCTCAATCATCACATACAAGCACTGATCTACTTGACTGATTTAGTGTTCAAAATCAGGATCTCCTTCAAGCTTTATCGTGAGTGCAAATCTCCACACTCGTTTCAGGTTGATGCACGCCTGTCTTGGTGTATTTCCGATCCTGTCTAGCTTTGACGTCTTCGTCTGTGCCTGTGTTGCCTGTAGTTGAAACAGTGCTGCCTAGATAAGTGAGGGAGGCCACTTCCTTTAAGTAGCAGTTGATCTTAAAAATTCATTCTCGCTATAGTATTTTACAAAACTGACCGTGATGTTCAATTTTTAGCAAGTGGAAAATAAAACTGAGGAAATGACATTAGCAGTATGGACTCAAGGAAATATAATTTGATCGAAATAAGATGAAGAAAAACGAGTGATTGCATGAGTACTGTCATGTTTACCACTTTGACTCTTGCTTTCCTAATCGACCACCAATAATCAAATATCAGCTAATGATTAAATCCATCAAAATAGTTTGTTGTTTCATGGAGTTCTGAAGACAGAAATTCGTAGATTGTAAGATGGTAGGTAATGTAATTCTGTATTCATCTTTACTAAACACAGATTTTACACCCATTGGTACATAAACCAGTAATACTCATGGGCAAATCTCTAGGAGGACCAGACAAAATATGATATTTGAGTAATGCAAGAGCAAAGACATTTGTAGAATAAAATGAGTTCATTTTATTTCATGGTCTTTCATCAGCCGCAAATAACCTACAACTGGAATAAAGTATTGACAGTAATCATGATATAAAATACTTCAAATATGTAGAAATAAATGAACATTTGAAATCCAGGATTAACAGTGAGATAGCGAGTTGAAGAAACGTAGGATTAATAATCACAAATCTTAGTCAAAATCAATGGTATCTGATGAGATAGAAAATTCTGAAGCTATGGAGTTGGGGTGGGGGACAACAAATAAATATCAGTGTAAAAGAAGGGGGTTGTTAAACAGCTAGTAATTACACGAAAAAATGAAAAGTCGTCAAGTGATTAACAGTCAGCAAGTAATTAATGAAGAAATGATGCAATCAAAAAGGGAAGACAATATACACACATGTACCAGGCTAAAGAAATGTTTGATAGAAAGATCTTCCATAAACCGTAATAAACATGACGTTCTTTGTTTGTTGATTATCCTGAAGGATTCAGAAACATTTATTTGATGTCCTGTTTCCCTCAGACGCCTGGCAATTGCGCTTGTAAAAGAACTTGCTACCTTTCAGACACAGAATTCTCGGAATATGCTCGTAAAATCGAGTTGACACCCTTCTTTGGGTCCGTTTTATTTACTTGCTTCCACAAGCAAATTGATATACACAGTTGAAGGTGATATGAGATGAGTATTTGTCTACTTTTAACTGTGTTTTTGAGAAGACTATATTGTAAGCTGAGATCAGTCTGGCAACGGGAAAGCTCCTTCTCAGTGCGGCTTTTATTCTTCTGTCTATTCTTTACCAATGAGGTGTAATGATTCAGTGCAAGACGCTACATGCAACCGAACCAAAATAAGCCTAATTCTTATCAAATACATTAAACAGTCATGTAGTGGAGATGTTTAGGGTTAATTTCATCACACCATGATCCCCCCACTCTTCGTTTTACTCATCAAATAACCATTAAATTGTGATTTAATGACATTGCCTCGAAACAATAAAAATCTTTGCTTTAATTAACTAGGAGTAGAATATTGTGCCAAATGAACGGAATATGCGCTTAAGAGGGTTAATGTAAAGCATAATTTCATCCATTTTCGTTTTTAAACAGCAAAACTTTAAATTCTTTTTTTAAAAAAAATATTATGGGTAAACAGCATATAATTTTGACGTAAATATGTAAAACAACAAAACAATCGACCACATTGCAGCCTGGATGAAAAATCCCATGAAAATATCTTTTTTCTTTTCCTGTTCTACCAGAATAACATAAAGTGCTTAATACTTTTTCGGAAAAAAAAAAGCAAGAATGAATCAGCCTTTTTAGTACATCAATTTGTCTATCAATAACCAAAACAATTGGATTAATGAAAAAAAAATACGGAAGAGAAATATAAGCAATGATGATCCCTTCAGCCTTTACACAAATAACAACAACTATGTAAAGTCATAGTTTGTTTTCTATGTATGTATTATCTCTCTTAACAATTCGATAATTGTAGATTTTTCCAAACTTACGGGGATCGGAACTGACAAATTTGGCAAATTGTCTACATTTTTATGTCTTGCATGCACGTGTATTTTTATGAGTACCTTGTTTGTAAATGTTCTAGCGTGTGTGTGTGTGTGTGTGTGTGGGTGGGTGGGTGTAGGCGTGCACTCCATAACTGATTATATAATTATCTACTCAATAACCTATGGAGTTTTAATAAAAAACCCACAATAAGCAGAATGTTAAAAGTATAAGGCATTCATAATAACATTCCACAATACTTGAACGTGCATAAATAGTTGAGCATATATACATTTTTACTTAGATGTAAGTGTGTGCCTGTAGTTACACATTCGGCACAGTTTGTAAAAGTTCAATTACCGCTTAAATAAAAGATTTTTACTTGGGAAAAAAAATAATACGTGAACACCTTACTTAATAACAATAAGTTTTTCAAAGGAATTTATTCTATTATTGTCCAGAATTAAATTAAAAATTGGTTTGTAATGATCGTGCAACTCTCTATAAGGAAATCACTCAATGACTACTCAACAAAATTTATCTACTCAATCCAAATGGCTTAAAATCTCAACTCTTCATTATACTAATTGAATCAGTTCAGATTAAGTAATTAAGTTGTCCATTTCTAATTCTGTGAAACTGTCTTAGATTGGCACTTGCCAACAGTGAAAGTCAGTGAAACAATTTGTAAATTATTTGAGAATCAAATAATTTATCCAACGGAAATACTGAATTAATTTCAGTAGTTAACGGTAATGTTAGTAGAGTTTCTGTTCATAAGCCACATTCATTCAGTCGTAGGGTGCAGTCTGTTCAACGGTGAAACAGATTTAAGTAGGGCGGGTGGAAATTGCTTCGAAATATCACACTAAACACATACAACAGACTTGTAAGATTCCTTATATAAAAATGTGTAATGAATATTTACACAGAAAGATAGATTTTTAGTTTCTGGTACTATTTCAGGCAAAACCACAGTATTATTATTTATTATTTCTCCCTTGGGTTCCTAATGTAACATAGGGCTTCGATAACACGTATCCATTACACTCCATTCTCTGCAATCTTTTCAACATCGCTCCACAACAGCCCACAACCTCTCATTTCATCCACACACCATCTCCTCTATGTCACCCTCATCTCCGACTCTCAACTCACTCTTTCACATCTACATTCCACTCCACTGCATCGACTGGAGCGTGACGCCCCACATCAGTCACCTCACTGCATGCCCCATCCGTCTCCACTTCCTTCCACTGCATATTTATTCACCGATAGCTTCTTGCTTCGTTCGTTCGTTGACAGCCACAGTGACTTCCTTCTCGCTTATTCTCATTATTCTGGCCATCTGAGTCTCAACAACCACTGAGCATAGATAGTACGTGTTGATGAATATCTGTAGTTTGTTGCAAATACCTCTCGTAATGCGCCAAGTCTCTCAATCATCACATACAAGCACTGATCTACTTGACTGATTTAGTGTTCAAAATCAGGATCTCCTTCAAGCTTTATCGTGAGTGCAAATATCCACACTGGTTTCAGGTTGATGCACGCCCGTCTTGCTGTATTTCCGATCCTGGCTGGCTTTGACGTCTTCGTCTGTGCCTGTGTTGCCTGTAGTTGAAACAGTGCTGCCTAGATAGGTGAGAGAGGCTACTTCCTTCAAGTTTCTCCCGTTGGTGGTGATTAGTGTTTGTTGTTGTTGGTAGCTTTGGTTGGGTATCTTCATCACCTCTGTCTTCTTTACGTCCACTTGAAGTCCTGTTTTCGTTGCCTTGCGCTGCCTCTTCTGTCAACTTGTTAGTTTTCGCCTGCAGATCTTCGAGTTTGTGTGACATCAGACACAAGTCATCGGCGAAATTCAAATATTCCAGGGTCTTTCCACCAGTCCAGCTTATGCCCCTCTTCTCACTCCTCATGGTTTGCTGCATGATCCAGTCGACCACAATCAGGAATATCATGGGTGATAGTAGACAGTCTTGTTTTCCTACCGTCTTCACTTCAAAGGCGTCACTGAGCTTCCCATTGTGAATTACTTGACATGTGGCGTCTTCATATAGTATGCGACCACATTAATAGCTAGTAAGAAATGTCACGCCTGCATAAAAAGTAGTCGACGAATCAAAAGTAATCCTTTTATGCCTTACTATGAATGCAAACAGGACGGTGGAGGTGAATGTGACGCAGACACACCTACCTGTACATCAACCAGATAGCTGATGATTAAGTGGAAACATTAAGAAATATTACTGAGAAAATAACTGCATCACACACTTTATGCCACTTACCACCTTTCTTTGTTTCTTCCATAAATCGACAATTGGGAAAGGAAGATCATCCCATTCTTTAGAGACTCTTTTAAACAGCTCGTTCACATCATATTTGACCGACTATAAAAAAGGTAAGACATACAAGAGTAAGAGAGAGAGAGAGAGAGAGAAATGAACAGTATTCAAGTGTTAGGAAGATTGTGTTTATAAAGTCCCCATATCAAGAATACACTACATTGATAATCAACTTACGGCTCCAGAGATTAGGCGATTCTGAATAAACTTTGGAAGGTGATTTTCAATAGATGGTCGCTGTCAGTCAAACAAGTGCTTACCTTCAAACACTTTTAGGTTGTCGATTTACTTCGGAATTCATTATTTCTCAATGTTAACCGGAAATAAGTTTTCAGTATTCAAAAAGCAGTTTAAAGTCCCACCAAAAAGATCTGCTATCTCACTGATACAGACAATTGACTACGTGATAAGTTCAATGAAATGAATAACTTTAAGATAAAAAGTGAGCCACCACATTGGTTCAATGGTGTTTTGCTCCCCCTATGGCTCTAGAGTATGGTAAAATGGAACTTGAGGGATTTCCTACTTACTATATACTAAGACAAGCATAATACAATGTCCATCAACTACACCTTGACAGCCAGTTGTCTGCCAATGTGTTATCCAATTGTTAGTATAGGAACGATAGCATCCAATTATTGGAATAAAGAAGCAACTGGATACGCCTTAACTCCTCAAATGCAAGTAAAAATACCAACTGAGATGATGATGATAATCACTACTGCGTAATGGTGCAAGTTGCCACGTTTAATATCAGTACATAAAGCCAGAATGCACTAAGATGAAAGATCAAGAAATAATGTACCAAACTCTATATTAGATTTGCTTATTTGATTTATAATACACACTGATACAGTATTATTTACTTGATGACGACACTTCAAGCATAAATTATTATCCCTCATAATCATATCAATGTAATCACACTACTTTCGACATTTGATTTTTTATAGTCCTGTCACCCATCTCATATTCTCCATATCTCTGGTATAGGTGTTGCATCATTTCTATTACATGTGTTGACTGGGTGTTGATTCAATGAATAAAGGTTCAATAATCAGTCTCCACCTAATTATATTGGACAGTGGTTTCATCCCACCCACCCTATTGTATGGTTATGTTAATGCATGTATTGCAAAAGTCAAGTGTTTTTCTAGATTATTGACCTTATTCGAGTCTGTCATTCTATATTTAGCTAAATTCCTACATTCCGCTGGTCTAACTGACCCCGACCGGCTAGTTGGACAGATGTACTTGACCTCACAGTCATTACATGGAATCTGATAGATTCAGTTATTTTGCTGAATTGGTTCTATCGACAAAGCTTATGTCTGGGCGAGCTCGCAGGTTTTAATGCCACCCCAATTCCAGCTTTTTTGAGGATTCTACGTAAAGTTTGTAATGTTCCTTCATTATAAGGTAACACAATGGAAGCTGTGAATTTCTTTCTACTTGTGTTGTCGTTATTATTCGTACTCGTGTTACTGATTACTGAATCTTTGTTCATCGAATCAACCAACACCCAACACATGTAATGGAAATGATGGAACACCTATACCAGAGATATGGAGAATATGAGGTGGGTGACAGGACTATAAAAATCAAATGTCGAAAGTAGTGTGATGACATTGATATGGTTATGAGGGATAATAATTTATGCTCGAAGTGTCGTCATCAAGTAAATAATACTGTATCACATCACACTGTGAGCTATACATATCAAATAAACAAACAAAATGTGAAATTAAAATCTACCACAATGACGACCTATATTAATGAAAACCAGTTGCTAAACATTTCGTCCTTCGAAAAAGTTTTACAGCACTAAATTACAGGGAGAATGAAGAGAGTATTCAACGATGGTTTCACTATATTGTCTTAGAAAATAGGTTATGAAGTGTGAGGTGGTTAGTAATCTTCAGTTCATCCACTTCATATCATTACATTATTCAACTTCTTTACTCAGTTGTGCAAGTTGTTAATAACATTTTAACTATGGCTACAAGTGTCATTCACGGATCTGTGCATTAGTCAATTCATGTTCGGAACTATTTGAGCCTATGTAAGTGTCAACATTTGCACTAACAGACAGAAATAGTCTATATCATTTCTAACGTTAAGGCATTATACGCTACATACTGAGTAGATATGAATTTCATTCGTAACGAAAACACAAAAACTTAGTGGATACTTTATCAAAAGGAAGAAAACAACTCTTTGATTTCTAGCAGTGGTAAAACCATTTAAGTACGCCATTGCATGCATAAAGCTTACATGTGCTTATAGGGTAAGATACTGCAGTCTCAAAGTTCCTTACCCGAAAATAGAAGCTATAAACGTGATAATGACAAATAACAAATATAAAGCGAAAAAAGTAGTAGATCCATTATAAATGAAGCGTAAAGAAACAGTATGCCAAATAGAGATTAATTAATAATAATGTTCAATCAAGAAGGAGTTCTAGATCATAGAAACAGAAATCAAGCTACCGTTGTTGATGATAGAAAACAGACTAAATCAATATTAATGAACACTAACCTAAGTCTGGAACTAGAAAAACATCAGATGGTAATTATACCTTTTTCCCCCTTTTTTGAATAAAATGTCGAATCTCCTTAGTAAACCATTAGCGACAGAAAAGGACATTATGCGTACTTTTCCCCCTTCTAATCAAAAGAACTTATACTAAGTAAACAGAATAATTAATAGATTGAAACACTTCCCGATATATTTCACTTACGCGTACACGGCATGAAAGATATATCTGTGCTGGCAACAATCATTTCGAGGCCGGAGAAGTGAAATTTTTTACCCAGAGACATAGACAGACAATATCAACGTTGAACTATCCCAGTCGCTAGAGGTTCCAACCTAGTTGATTGTCTTATTTCACACAAGTATCATATTTTTTTCAAATAAACCATTTTATGAAATAAATGGAGATGCTCAGCACAATACTGACAATTTCATAGCAATAAGCTATATTCTAGAGCTGAATTTCAGTAGCTAATTTGCAGTCAATCTTACCCGACAACCATCAGAGAGGAATATCTTTAAACCTGAAAAAAATTATGTTCTCTGAGAGACATTATGATTGGTGTTCAATGCACTCAGTCATTTGATACCAATACAAATATCATCTCAATATCATGTCAAACACACTGCAAACTTGACTTTTTGTCATCGATCAGGATTCACGATCTCTAACGGTCGATTCCTGTACAGTTGAGAACACACGTTTAGTATAAGAGTAGTCTATTAGGACTGAAGAAGAAAATCAGCCTAGTTTCTAAGTTTTTGACTATCATCAATCTGTTAGTAAAACACCGTAGTATAACTACTGAGTCTAAGAATTTCAGCACCTTCCACTAAATACATTTCAGCACACTGAGAAGTCTAACAGATAGCATTATGCAGCTTATTCAATATCTTGAGGGTTAAATAAAAATGTCAAATGTTATGCGCGAAATGCATACACGAAAGTAAATAACGTTCAACAACAACATAGCATACTTCAAATCTCAGGGCATATCAAACGTCTGGAAACAAATCTGGATTACATAGAAAAGTTCCAGAAAAGTAAATTTTGAGTTTTTGTAATAAGTTGATATCATAGTAACGATGGATAGTGGTTAGCGGTGGAATCCAGGATGAGCAGTTATACTAAAACCATACCCATCTAACAAGAATTGGCTATCGTGGCTCGGTGGTGTAGTGGATAACGCTCTGGAGTTTCAAGCGATCCCTACCAAGTCCGAGTCCCGGTGGGAACAACATCACTGACCAGGAAGCAGGTATATCTAGCTGACAAGTCCCAAATTGGAAGAAATACGCATCCTGGATTCCAGTGCTGGCCACTATCCATCTTTACTATATATAATTAAAACACAGGCAACATCGAGGCATCCGCATAGGAGCCTATATGCCAATAGAGACCAACCAATTCAGTCCAGTCAACGACGGTATAATACAAGCAATTATACTAAAGTTGATATTAGTCAGAAATTTAGTAGAAACCAGAATGTAGATTCGTCCTAATCTAGGATTAATTAGAAAAATGCATTTAAGAACAATTTACGGATAAAATTTCGATAAATTTAACTCTACGACAGTTTTAGTAACCTATAAACAAATAGAAAACCTCGCCTGCTTAACTAGTTCACTAGTTACTAGCCGGTCCTAAGCCCCGGGTAAAGAGGGAAGGTTGGGCAGAGGGCTAGCAACCCTACCTCGTAAAACAAATGTAACCGCTAAACAAACTTCAAAGCACAATCAAAATATAAAAAATAAGAAGAAAATTATTCGTCACTGGAATCGGAGAGCCGAAAGGACGCCGGTTGGTGAAAGCCTCCGGGAAGCCAATTGGCCGATATGTCTTCTCTTCTCTCGATGAAAGCGAGAGTAAACGTGGGGACATGGAATGTCAGCACAATGGTTGAACCCAGCAAGGCAGCCCAGATTGCAAACGAGGTGAAGAGATATCACACTGAAGTGCTTGGAATTTGCGAAAGCAGATGGAATGGAAGTGGACTCTCCAAACTGTCAACTGGAGAATCAATAATCTAATCCGGTCACCCAGACGACAACCACGAGCACACTGAGTTATGGAGTGGCTATCATGAGGTCACCAACGGCATCGAAGGCTACCATGCAGTGGGAACCAATCTCCTCCAGGATCATGACAGCAAGATTCAACTCAAAAGGAAGGAAGGTCACAATCATACAATGTTACACTACACGCCTATAAATAATGCAGAGCAAGAGAAAAAGGAGGAATTCTACAGACAACTCCAATCAACATTGGACAAGACCTCAGTTAGCGATATCAAAATTCTAATGGATGACATGAATGCAAAACTGGGAGCAGACAACACAGGAAAAGAACTAACCATGGGTCGAGAAGCATTTGGTGACGTGATAAACGAGAATGGAGAATTGTTTGCAGAATTCTGTGCATTCAACGATTTGGTGATTGCAGTGAGGCAGTGTGTTCAAGCACAAAGATATCCACAAAGCGACATGGATTTCACCAGATGGACACACTAAAAATCAAATCGACTTCATCTCAATCTCAAGAAAATGGAGACGCAGCCTACTCGACACAAGGTCAAGAAGAGGAGCAGATGTAGGTTCAGACCACTATCTAGTGCAAGGAACCTTCCAAATCAAGTTAATAGCCTTCAAGGAAGCTGATGATAGACCGCAGTTCAAGTACAACACTGGGAAACTGAAGGATGAAACTACAAAGGAAATCTTCAAGGCAGCCATCAAGACAAAATGGGAGATATCCAGCAACATCCCTTAAGAAACCTGTGTGGAAGAACACTGGAAGCCTTTGAAAGAGATGTGGAAAGAAACCTGCACAGCCGTATTAGGAAGGAAGAAGAAAGAAGATAAGGAATGGAGTGGATCTCGATGGATACATGGAAGCTGACAGAGGAGAGGAGGATGGTGAAACAGAAGATAAACCAGTGCAAGGATGTTCAACGACAAGAGGAACTGAGTACAATGTATAAAACACTACGCTGGAAAAAGAAGTGAAGAAGAGTGCAAGGAAAGACAAAAGACACTTCTACGAAACACTGGCAACTGAAGCAGAACAGGCTGCAGGTAAGAGAGACCTGACAACATTGTATCAAATAACCACGTTACTATCTATCAGGGAAGAGATCAACACAGATGAAACCAATAAAAGATGATGAAGGAAATTCGATTATCAAAGAAGAGTAACAAAGGAAACGATGGGCCGACCACTTCAAGAAGCTCTTGAATCAACCACCACAACCACTGTCACTTCGTCCAGAAATACCACCTGCAGCTCAGCCACAGAACTACAAGTCAACATAAATCCTCCAACAAAAACAGAAGTGAAGTCCTAAACGCCATAAAGCTACTGAAGTGCAGGAAAGCAGCAGCAATAGGTGGAATCCCACCACAGACACTGAAGACAGACACAGAGACAACAGCGGACATCCTCACACCACTATTGCAGAAGGTGTGGAAGGAAGAGAAGGTACCTGCCCATTGATTGGAAGAAGGGTTACCTTGTCAAACTCCCGAAGAAGGGAGACCTCAGTGTTTGCAAGAACTAGCGAGGAATCGCTCTCCTGACCACGCCAACCAAAATATTAATCCCCATCATCCTGGAGAGACTAAAGGATGCACTGGATTCAAAACTACCACCAGAACAGGCTGGCTGGCTTCAGGAAGTACAAATCATGTGCCGACCAAATTGCAACGCCACTCTACGCATCATCAGAGAACAGAGTATAGAATGGCAGTCCACTGTACCCGTACCTCATCTTCATCGACTTTGAGAAGGCCTTTGACAGCATCGACCGAGAGATTATTTGGAAACTGCTTCAATACTACGGAATACCACAAACCTTTATCAGCCTCATTCAACAACTACATGAAGATGCCACATACCAAGTAATTCACAGTGGGAAGCTCAACTCAGTGATGCCACTGAAGTGAAGTGAAGACAGGAGTGAAACAAGGTTGCCTACTATCCCCCATGATATTCCTGATTGTGGTCAACTGGACTGGATCATGCAGCAGACAACAGTGGGGAGCTGTGAGAAGAGGGGGATACGCTGGCTGGACTGAGGAAAACAACCTAGAAGATCTGGATTTCGCCAACGATGACTTGTGTCTGATGTCACACAAACTTGAAGATCTACAGGCGAAAACTAACAAGTTAGCAGAAGAGGCAGGGCAGTGAAGACGGGACTTCAAGTGAATACAGAGAAGACGGAGGTAGAGGTGATGAAGATACCGCACCAACAACAACAACAAACTCCAATCACCATGAACGGGAGAAACTTAAAGGAAGTAAGCTCCTTCACTTATCTAAGAAGCATCGTTTCAACTACAGGCAACACAGGCACAGACGAGGATGTCAAAGTCAGAATCGGAAAAGCAAGAGAGGCGTTCATTAGCCTGAAACCAGTGTGGAGATCTTCTGCACTCAGCATGTGGAACAACATCCGGATTTTCAACACTAATGTCAAGTGAGCCAGTGCTTCTATGTGATGACTGAGAGACTTGGCGCGTTACGAAAGGGATTTCCAACAAACTACAGACATTCATCAACACCTAGCATCTATGCTCACTCGTTACTGAAGATCAGATGACCAGAAAGAAAGAATAAGCAACAAGGAGCTCTGGGGATGAACAAACCAAGAACCTAACACCCAACAAATATGCAGAAGGAAGTGGAGGTGGATTGGGTATGCACTGAGAAGGCCGACTGGGGACATCAAGTGCCAGTCCAGGCACTCGAGTGGAACCCCCATGAGAAGCGACTACTTGGGAGTCCGAGATGAGGGTGACATGGAGGAGATCGTGTGAGGAGGAAATGAGAGGTTGTGGGCTGTCGTGGAGACAGATTCAAAAGACTTCAGGGAACAGAGTGGAATGGAGACGTGCTACTGAAGCCCTATGTTCCATTAGGAACCCAAAGGACTAATAATAATAAATGAACAACTAGAAGCAATTCTATGTACAACCTCATGATGGCTGATAACATCAGCTAGCTAGCTGACTTGAGGAATAGAAATCTAAAATTTGATCAAAATACAGTAACTACCATGACCTGTTGAATGCTCCGCTACAAAAGCAATGCATATCCTACAGAATATCAGTTAACGCTCTTCTACTAGTTGATTCAGAGTGAAAACACTTTGTTGTTGGGTTTCGATGCAGAGATTAAATCAATTACGAACACAACACTTACTAATGATTGAAACGGAATACCATCACTTGAAGGAAGGCAATAAGTAACGGCAAAAAAGAACCACTGCATTCTTATTATATTATATCTAGATAGACTTCAGTGGTGTATGGATGCTTAACTGTTTTGCAGTTCACTAGACTTGCATATTTGTTTCAAAAGCCTGAGTTTAAGCATTTCATATATGTCAATGAGTTTTAAATCACCAGCATTTCTCAGCAGTACAAGGTTTAATATATCATATGAACTAGTCATGTTGACTATCTGACTTCCCACCTTTATGAAAGTAGGCACTTTTCTTTCCAAGTAAGTGATATTTCCATACTTTGAACAGTATCGTTTTCTTACGTAGGCCAGCTGAACTACAAACTCAGAAGTTATCACAACGGCTTAATTAAGAACAGTCAAACCCATACGTTATAACTAGCTAGTTTATGGCGATAATTTGTTTTCCTTCCAATGCACAACTGATTTAAAGGTGTATTGTTCATTTCTTGTGATATCCTAATAAACGGTTATATAACTATTTCTCAGTTGTCATTACTGATAAACTGAAAAAGAATATAACTAGGTTAAGTAGAGAGTTAGTTTGAAACCTTTAAGCTTAGGGGAATCGGAAAAAATCATCAAAACTGGAAATAGGACAAGAGTATGTAGTGAACAGATTAGGATTAGAAGGACGGAATTTTTAATACTTATAACATATCGAAGAGTGATATTCACTGTCATTTTTAGTCAACACTAAGCACTGTTCCTAATAACTGACTTTGTTGTGGCTAGCAGTGGAATCCAGGACGCACATTTCGTCTTCACTGGGATTCATCAACTGAATGCACCTGCATTCCAGTGAGTAATGGTGTTCTCACTGAGACTCGAACCTAGTGTCCAGCGCTTTACTCACTAAGCCATTGAGGCATGATAGCTACCGCATGTAAAACAGGTATTAGTTGCTACTATTTACTGAAACTTGTAATCCTCCGTTGTTATACTAGATAAAATTGATCAACCTTTGTTGGCATATCACCCCTATATGGATCCATATCGTGCCTCAACGGCCTAATAGACAGTGCTTCGGAGTTTGAAGTGATAGGTACAATGTTCAAGTTCCAGTAGGAACAACACCACTCACGTCAAACTAACGAGTACCAAATAGACCGAAAAGCACGTCTTGAATTTCACTACTTTCAATCTAGTTAATGGTAGACAAATTCATAGGTTTACATAAAGAATTTCAAGAGATTTTACCATGTAAAGCCTTACCACTAGCAGTAAGCCATAATCACTAAATACTGTGTGGGTCAAGAATGTGTGTTAACTCGCTGTTATTCTACATAGTATATTCACAATAATATTTACAAATTTTGTTAGTGAATTTATCCTACTGACAAAAGAACTTACATGGAATAATTCTTTTTCTGATTCCAATCCATTGGCAAGTGAACTGTCGACCACAAGCTAAAGTAACGTATAACAGGGAAATAGAAGTAATCAACTGATTAGGAAATGCAATTTCATGATGAATTCTTTTATAGCTAAAAGAAGTTATGTGAACGATTAATTCTTCCCCTAGAGAGTATTCTACAGAGGAATCTTAGGAAATGATAACTAATTGTTTCCTGATTGGAGACGATCGGCAAGAAAGCTTGAACCTAGGCTGCGTGAGTGTTGGTATAAATCGGAAGAGTTGATGTGTAACTCAGAAGGGACTGATGTCTCTTCAAAGATATGAACCTTTGTCACCTAGTCCCATAACCAACAGTTTTACAACTGAGCTACTCGATAAATCAACTGACCTCCTGTTAGACTGTATGATCTGCATTAACTGTTCTCTGGGGAGTAACTTAGTTTCATGCTCTCTACTACAACGTGGATAAAAGAGTATCACAATTATCAGTTGCTTCGTCAGGTGACTACACTTCAAAACGCCCGATGGCATTCGTTAATGTAAGAGAAACGTTTGGGCACTGTGGTAGATTTTTTTATTTCATTGGTATAGCACACAGTGATACAGTGTAGTTTACTCGATAACATCTCGAGCACGATTTATCACTCACATTCATGTCAGAGTAATCATACGACATTCAAACTTCATTTGTATACTCCAACAGTTCCACATTCTTTTATCTTAAGGGTAGTAAAACATCTCAGTTATCTACAATATCGGATGAATCATTCCTCTCACATATGTTAGGTGTTGATTCAATGAATACAGATTCAGTCGTCAATCTCTCCCTCCACCTACCTATCTATCTATTTTGTCCTACTCCAACTCCATAGTGTGATTATCGGTCAGTGAAGGCAGGGTGATAGTCGAGTTTTTCTCTGACTTACTTATCTTAGTGGTATCTGTCATTGTATGTTTCGACAAACTTTTGTGCTCCGTTAATCGGTTGTTTTGACCTATATGGTTGACCTCACAATCATTACATAATGTTTGATAGATTAATCTGTTCTTCTCAATTGACTTTATTGGATGTTTTAGCCTACAAAGTTACCCTAAGAGCGAGATTGGGGGTTTAAATGCCACCATAATACCAACATTATTAGAAATTCGACGTAAAATTTGCTATGTGCCTTCTTTGTATGATGATATAACAGAGGATATGAATTACAACTTATGCATATTACAATTACAACTAATATCATCGCCTCTTCTCTTATCAGTCCGTATAAAATTTTTAACAACTCCCAGAGGGTAGTTATTAAGTAGTAATGTCCCTTCAATGAGTTCCAGTTATTCATCTAGATTTCATAATTTACTAGTCAAACTTCTAGCCCGATTACTCCGGCATTTTATGATTATTATTTATTAGAACACAAAAATATAACAACATTATAAAGACAAAGCGAAGAGGAGTGGATAAGTAAGAAAGAAAGACAATAAGAAGGGTAGTGCAGTAAGATACTTTCAAAATAAAATATCACTTCTCAGCAACAGTAGATAGAAGGAAGCTACAGCATGACCACCACTGGCTTCAACTCTCAAAAATATCTCATAACGTCTCAATCCACTGACTCGCCTGATATCTCGCACCCCACTCACGGAGTCGTGATACACCATCAGATGCTAGCCCGATACAACTATCCATCATCCCATGGCACCACGTCATACACTGACCACCAGTCCACTACTTCCTTCCAGTCCCAGGGTTAGCAAACAATGAACGGTATGGAAGCCGTCGGGACGATTTGCGTAACACATGTTCAAGCCACTGAAGCCGGTGTTTCCAGATCACTTCACTTATTGGATAACGATCTCCATCATGTCTGAACACATGCTGTCGAACCTCAGAACTACTTGCCTGGTGTTACCACAGGCTAACAGCAATGCTATGGAGACAACGACGGTCGAACACACAGAGTCGTCGCATACCCTCAACTCGGAGAGGCCAGATTTCACAGGTGTAGAGCAGAACTGCTTGCAGTGAAGCGTTGTAAACCCGATCTTTTACGGTCAAACTAACGTCGTGACGGTGCCAAAGGTGGCTCAGATTGATGTATTTCACTCTAGCTTTCGATATGCGGTTGGAAATTTCACCACTCACCCCTCCGCCACCACTCATACAACAACCCAGATACAAGAACGTTTCGACTACTTCCAACGGCTCACCATCACCTGGGGTGAGCCCAGGCATAGGCTCCTTCCAATCTTGCAGAAATACTTTACACTTTAGTGGTGCAAAACACATACCATACTTACGGACACTACATTGATAGATAAGGGGTGATACAATGTGATATCCAAGTTTCTATTCGAATGTGTTGGCTTCCTATGAACGCTGGTATATAAGTTTCCATCTTTTCGCCTGTTGATTTTGCAATCGAACATCGGTAAGTCTCCTTCTTCATTTTCTTATTTATTAGTGAATCGGATTGCATCTACTATCGAGTTAATATGTAAAAAAGCTTTGGATATGTTTTGATTACAGCACAGTAATAGTATTATTTAAAATGGAACCAGGTGGCAATTTTAAAAACCAAACTTTCTTCATCGAATCGACACATGCAACCGGAATGATCCATTGTATTGGGGAAATTTTAACACCATCAAAACAAAAGAATGAAGAACTGTTGGACTATATAAATGAAGTTAGAAAGTCTTTTGATTACTTTCACATAAATGTAGGCAATGTATAAGACGGTATCTTTGTGTTTTATATCAGATAAATAATCGAAAATGGAACGATAAGGTTCAGTCAGTACTCAGGACTAGACAACATGAAATGAGTCACACCCTAGTGATTAATCAACCTATTAGCAAGTTTCATTTATTTCAGAGTTGAAATTCCTTAATCCTTGTTTATTGATACGCGTGATTTTTCGTTGAAATACTGGTTTGAATAACTCTGTCTCTCTTTGGAGATAGAGAGAACTCTCGATTCTCCCCAGATATTCATCATATTGTCGACTACTTGGTGGTGATCAATAGAATCCTGAACGTGTGAGGCATTCGCATAGGAGTCCGTCTGCCAACACAGGCCAAGTAATTGGACCCAACGTAGCAATAAACAGCAATTGATGCCCACCGCACAAGGGGGGACCCTCGTGCCCCAGTGGTCTAGTGGTTGACGCTTTGGCGTTTGATGAGATGGGTACTGGCACCGAGTCTCATTGGGAAGAAAATCACTCGGTGGGATGCTGGCACATGCAGCTGAAGAGCCACAAGCAGGAAGAAACTCTAATCCTAGATTCCACTGCTAGCTACCAAATAAACTACAATTTTCTTAGTCCTTTTGTACAAAATCAGTCCATCATAATCTAATTAAGTGAAGCACAATAATGTTACTTTTAGATTTTAAAAGAATTCTTCATCAAGAATGTGAAATCATTGTACTTAGAAGGTCAATCGATTCTGTTTACTACAACAGAACGGTATCTAACAAAAAAGTCTTTCTAAGTCTTGACTATCAGCCATCTAAATTATCTCAGCTAGTAATTCGGAATCCAACTGCGTAAATGGTGGATCGAAGTCTCAGAGATAACATAACCGTTACCTTAATATTCTAGTTTATAGGGGGTAATGAGAGTATTTTGTATTTTTTAAAAACACATTGAATCGATCTCATTGGTAACTGTGGTCAGCAAAGTCGACATATCCACACAGAGAGACAGTAGTACGTGATGAAATATATTCTCTCACCTGTCATATGAATATAATAAGTCCTATAGTTGTATTGATTGCGTTTTCTCAAAATGCTTCTAATTACGACGAATACATTCTGTAGGATAGATACAGGATTTCGATTATTATTTGTGAGATTTCATTCCTTTAGAGAATCATTTACATGATCAATTATTTCAGATTGAATTTCAGTGATAACTGGTTCTGACACTAACTTTCACATAAGACTATTCTAAAGAGAATTTCCCCAACTAAATAGTATTATTAACAAACGATTATGGGATAATCTCACTGTTGTCAACGCAAAATTACACAGCATAAACATGTAACTTTAGGGCCTGAAGAAGAAATTATCGAGAAGAATATTCTTTGTTCCTTTAATGGGAGCTTCTAAAGAATCCTATTTTATCAATATCACAAACTAGTAGTTCAGTTAATCAGCAAGTCCAGTCCCGGTGTAAGGACGGTCAAGTTAAGTACTGAACAGCGGCCATAATCAATGGACGTGCACATGACCTTGAACAACCAATCAGATTGCAGGAATATGAGATTCAAAAATAACATATCTACGACCAGTCTTAACATACTATCTATCACGTGCAGGTTTCTTCTGTAGCTAATAGAACACAGGAACAAACGCCATGGGTTTTTTGAGCTATCTAGCGTCGCATACAAATGTCTCAACGTTTAATTTAGAGTCGTAGAGATGCAGAAGGTAAACAACCTATCTATTTCGAATATATTATCTTCAGAATCGGACACACCAGAAAAACAAAGTATTTTCAACCTTGAATCACATGATCATTCATTGTTTTTCAAATCGATAGGCCCATGGATAGACAGTTTCCGCCTAATCGATATCCAACATCCAATCAGAGATTCAAATAAAAATTAGTCAATTTATTAGCATACATCCGACACTGCCCTTCTTTACGACCAAACAAACAATTTCAACTTACAGCAAAAACCAAAGTAAGTAAATGCGGTTAGTGTATGAAATCAATTGTTCCCTAGTCAATGCGAAAATAAATTAGAGGTGAGATACGAGTCATACCTGCATCTATCTGTATCCCCTATGATTTCACTTACTGTTTCGGGCAAGATCATATAGTGTTATTGCTTGTAGTATTTCGCGGCACAAGAAGTGGCTACCATGGCTCGGTAGTCTCATGGATAACAATCTGGCGTTGGAAGTGACCGGCCTCAGGTTCGAGTCCCGGTGAGGGCAACACAGGCTGGGAAGCAGTTTCCTCCAGTTGACAAGTCCGGAACAGGATGAATCGCGTATCATGGATTCCACCGCTAACCACTATTCATCATCAATAAAACCATA